TCATGGTTTAAAGTTATTAATGATTTCCTTGTTTTGTGGGTTATTTATTTAGTCTTTTGATTCCATTTCTTTATGGGACTCATTATATATATATGGTAAATGAATGATAGTTTGAATGACACCTGTATAACACCATCTACATGCATTAAAGCTGCGAATCGGTAGTAATTTCTGAATAGAATACCTATCTCAAAAAATGTTGGTACCTGCCTCCTTAAATGCTTTGAAGAAACAAAACGCATTTTCTGGCCACAAAGCTGTTACTAAATCTATAATAAAATATATATAACCCCAACCATATGAAGGGAGCAAATTATTTTGCCATCAGTTTTTATACCCTCCACCATAGTATGGAGGAATATACATTTTACACGCCACAAAGTACATATATTGTTGAACAGCATAAAATTCTATGTCGATTTGGCGATTTCCGACCGTCTGTCCGTCTGTGGAAATCACTCTAACTTCCGAGCAAAATGAAGTAGATTGATAAAATTTTACTCAAATGTAAATAATTTCTGCAGAACTTTTGGTATTGAAAATGGGCCATGTAGGTCCACGGTTTGGTATAGCCCCCATTTAACGTTACCTCCCGATATTCGGTATTTTAATGATTTTTGCAACATTTTCACGGCTTTGTCTAAAAGTTTAAAGTGAAATTCGGATACTTTTATGTTAAAATGTTTTCTTTACCCTAAGGATACCTTAATGTGTGTCCGTCTGTTGTAATCACGCTACAGTCTAAACGAATTAAGGTAGGAAGCTAAAATTTTGCACAGATCTGTCTTTTGTCTGCAGGCAGGTCAAGTTCGAAGATGGGCTATATTGGTCCACGATATCGTATAGCCCCCATATAACGGTACCCCCGATATTCGGTATTTTGACGATGTTTGCCACATTTTTCAATGGATTTGTCTGAAAATCTACACAAGTAGTTCCTTGTGGGTACTTTATACCTCGCAGAGAATTATCTATATGGGTCCACAATATCGTATAGCCTCCATATAACGGTAACCCCGCGGTATTCGGTATTTTGATGATTTTAGCCACATTTTTCAATGGAATTGTCTGAAATTCCACAAAAGGAGTCCCTTGTGGGCATTTTACCCCCTCAAAAAGAATTGTCTATATAGGTCCACGATATCGTATATCTCCCATATAACTGTACCCCCCGATATTCGGTATTTTGATGATGTTAGCCACATTTTTCAATGGAATGGTCACAAGGGGTTCGTTGTGGGCACTTTACCCCCCGACAGAGAATTCTCTATATAGGTTAACGATAACGTATAGCTCCCATATGGGTACCCGCGATTTCCGGTATTTTGATGATTTTAGCCACATTTTCAATCGTATTGTCTGAAAGTCCACACACGGAGTTCTTTGTGAGCACTTTACCCCCTGAAACGGAATTGTCTATATAGGTCCACAATATCGTATATCCCCCATATAACGGTACTCCCCTATATTCGGTATTTTGATGATTCTAGCCACCTTTTTCCAATATGATTATCTGAAAATCCACACAAGGAATTCCTTGTGAGTACTTTACACCCAGACATAGATTTGTCTTTATAGGTCCACAATATCGTATATCCACCCATATATCGGCAACTTCCTATATTAGATATTTTAAAGATTTTAAAAGAATTTTTAATGGATTTTATTTTTTTGAAAATTTTCTAAAAATTTGGTTATAGGTGAAGGGATAGAGCTGGAATCCCGAAAGTTGATGTAGATGTAACTGTTTGTGTCTGTATTTAAGATATGATGGTGCTTTTCGAAATGTGTGCAATAATTGTGCGAATCCTCAAATTTAATATTAAGGTGTCTTTTGGTATCTGGAATTGAATGGTACTAAATTTGGTATTGGGTGAAGTAAAAGAGCTGAAATCCTGAGATTTGATACTGATGTAAATGTTTGTGTGTCTGTGTTTAAGACATGATGGTGGTTTTGGAAATGTGTATTATAGTTGCTCGAAAAGTACTAAGTGGTACTAAATTGGGTATTGGATGAAGGGATAAGACTGGAATCCCGAAATTTGGTAATGATGTCTCTGTTGGTATGTGGAATTGATATATGAAGGTCATTTTGGAAATGTGCACTAAAGTTTTACGAAAGTACTAAATGGTACTTTATTTGGTATTGGGTGAAGGAATAGGTCTCGCTTGTTATCTGGGATTGAGGTATGGAGGTAGTTATGGAAATGTGTACCATAATTGTTGGAAAAGTACTGAAGTGTACTATATTTTTTGTATTATGCGAAGGGATAGAGATAAAATTCTGAGATTTGATATTAGATTATTGATGGTATCCGATGGTTTGGAAATGTGTACTATAATTGTACGAAAAGTACTAAATCGTACTAAAATTGGTATCGGGTGAAGAGAATTCTGAAATTTGATTTGATTTAGATGCGGAGGTAGTTTTGGAAATGTGTACTATATTTGTACGAAAAGTACTACATAGTACTACATTTTGTATTGCGTGAAGGGGTAGATATGAAATCCTCATGATTTTGGAAATGCTTACCATATTTGCACGAAAAGTACTAACTAGTACTAAATTTGGTATTGGGTGAAGGGAAAGAACTGTTATGTCCGTGTGTAAGATGTGAAGGTGTTTGTGTCTGTGTTTAAGATATGAAGGTGGTTTTGGAAATGTGTATCACAGTTGCCCCAAAAATACTAATTGGTACTAAATTTGGTATCGGGTGAAGGGATAGGGTTGAAATCCCTAAATTTGTTGGAATCTTGGATTGAAATATGAAGGTGGTTTTGAAAATATATCCTACAATTGTATGATAAGTGGTATTGAGTGAAGGTATAGAGCTGAAATGCTGAGGAGAAGTTGAAATAGTTTTGAACAAAAAATTGTATGTAGGGCCATTGTGTAATTGTTTAACTAATATCCTCCTCGGTAAACTCCATCTTTCTATGAGCTTTTCCGTAAGAGGAACAACTTAATAATGTGTAAAACTTTGAAAGTCTGAAAACTTAAAGTCTGAATCAAAAAATTTCGTCAAACCGAACTTATTGCGCATTTTGAGTACTAACAAGTAAAAAAGATGTAAGTTCGGCCGGGCCGAACTCTAAATACCCTCCACCATTTGACACAAATTTGGCAATTTTCAAACAAATAAAATCCGTTAAAAATTCTGTTAAAATCTTAAAAATACCGAAAGTAGCCGTGTATTACGTACGACCACGTGGACCTGCATAGGTAACTTTTGTCATAAGCTATTACAATATTCAAATGCGAATCTTAAAAGAAAAATTTGTTCATAATGTAGCTGAAATCATCAAAATACGGAATATAGGGAGATACCATGTTGGTTATAAAAAGTGGACCTGCACACACAATTTTCTGTCATAGGCTGTAGTATCCATTACGAACTTCAAATGCGAAATTTGTAACATTTCCTTTAAATAATGTCGCTAAAAGCATCAAAATACTGAATATCGGGAGGTACCGTTGTATGGGGGCTATGCGAAGACGTGGGCCTGCACAGATAATTTTCTTTCATAGGTAGTAGTATCCATTACGAACTTCAAATACTAAATTTGAAACAATTCCGGTAAATAATGTCACTAAAATCATCAAAATACCGAATATCGGGAGGTACCGTAATGGGGGTATACGAAGACAAGGACCTGCACAGACAATTTTCCGTCGTAGGCTGTAGTAACCATTATGAACTTCAAATGCCAAATTTGAAACAATTCTGGTAAATAATATCGGTAAAATCGTCAAAATACCGAATATCGGGAGGTACCGTTATATGGGGGCTATGCGAAGACGTGGACCTGCACAGATAATTTTCTGTCATAGGCTGTAGTACTCATTACGAACTATCATATCGAAATTTGAAACAATTTCGGTGAACAATGTTGCCAAAAACATTAAAATACCGAATATAGGGAGGTGCAGTTATATGGCGTCTAAAGTTAAATGTGGACCTATGTAGCCCATTTTCAATTCCAAATAAACACACACTTGAGTAAAATTTTATCAACCTACTCCAATTCGTTCGAAAGCTGGAGTGATTTCCACAGACGGACGGACGGTCATCGTAAAATCGACATAGAATTGTATGCTGATTAAGAATATACATATACTATGTGGGAACTAAAATGTATATTTCGAGGTGTTAGAAACTGAATGAAAATTTAATATACCCTCTATACTATGGTGGAGGGTATAAAAAGGCCTATCACGAACTGTTAGACAAAATCTAAAATTTTTAAGTGGACTTTACGCTGAAGAAGTAGCGGGCACTTGCTAATAATAGATAAGGCCTAAAGTTGGAATATTTACTTTCAATTTTTATGGCACATCTGTATATATGTGGCGAAACACTGTCTGCCACTTTCAAACTTGTTAACTTGTTGATTTCATATATAGGTCACTTTCTCGATCTGCCTTTCCACCTTTGCGCAATGAAATTGACTTTACATTGTAAGAAGACAATCTTTTTTAATTCAGCCAGAAGTTACCCATTTTGTATAACCAGTTTTGTGAAAAATACAATAATTACAAGTAATTTAAAGTTCAACCATATGTTAAATTGGCCCCATCGACAAAGAATGATGGAGTATCCCATATGTTAGTAGCAATGTAAAATACAATTAAGACACCGAAAGATGGATAAATGACACCAGCAATAAAAAATGATACTTTTAGATATTAAATGGCAAAATTACCCCTCTGCCAAGACGCCGACCGGCAACGCCAACGCCGACGCCAACAACGTAAAGAGTGACGTCTCTCTCTCCAAAATAGAGCCCAGCCACAGTTGTGAATTTACTAACTGTTGTGTGGAGAGTGTCAGAGCATCTGCGTTGGCGTAGACATTGCCGTCAACGTCATGCCATAATGATCATACACTCTTGTGTGAGCCGTAGAACAACGACAGTTACGTTGCCGGACATCAAACTACTGCTGGATGGCTGACTTAACTGAGTGATCTCAACTTTGGTCGTTTAAACAAAAAGTCAGTTGACGAAAAATGTTGCTCGCAGCAACAACAAAAGGCGGTTAAGTGCGAGAAAATACGGAAAACACCTACCTAAAATTGAAAACCAAACAAAAAAATTTAAAACAAGAAATTGGCCAATTAATATTGGAGAGCAAAAAAAAATATCAACTACATAATGTATTTGTGAATTTCCTGGAATTGGTGAAAATTATGTGAAATTTCGTTCAAAGTGAATTTTCATTTTCAAAGAAAATCTGTAAATAATACCTACTTTGAAGTTAATGAATTAAAAAAGTGAATTTAAGCAACAAAATTGCATTAGTTTTTTTGAGTGGTAAATTTTAGTTTTTTTTGTTCTTCTTCTTCATTATTTCCAAGTTTTACTTAATTTTTTGTGTTATTGTTGTTGTTGGTGGTGGTAGCTGGCCGACAGGCGATCTTGTTTTTGTGTGTAAAAATTGCTATACTACAAATGCCGATTGTTTGACAGTTTTTGGCTTGCTACCTGTTTGAATTTAACTGCCAGTGTATGAGTGTGGTTTTACCTGTTCGCACCGTGCTCTCTGACTCTGTGGCAAAAAGAGATCCATGAGATACAAAACAAAAAAAAAAATAACTACCCACAAAACCATATGCTTTTCGTTCCCTACAAAGGGAGAGAGTTTAAAATCCACATCGGCGTTACTGTGTCTGTGTGATGCCATGAGAGAGCAAGAGAATGAGTATCAATTGATTTCAATTAACAAAACAGAGTTCAATTTCAATTAAAATGCATGAGTGCGAAAAAGGGAGAGAGAGATCGACTATAATTAAAGAGAACAAAAAAATAAATACAATTGTTGAATACAATTAGCACGTAGTGAGTGAGAGTGTTCAGTGAGTGTAATTTCTGTGTAAATTCAACGAATACAACAACTCCAGTTGATATTTAAAATGTTGTAGCTACAATGCAACAAGTATGGCAAGATCATAAAATGGCTTTAAAAAGGAGTAACAACGAATTAATAACACCCTACTATATGAACAAAAAAACCAAATGCTTCACAAACAAAGCGAAAAGGGTAGCTATTCAGAGGAATGGATTTTTTTGTACTAGGTTTTTGAATCCAAAAATGCGAAGAAAAGATTAATGAAAAAATACATTTTATGTTCTAAGCAACCACAAACAATACAAGTAAAAAATATTATGTTCGGCCGTGCCGAAATTTCGATACCATAAGGTTATAAATATTTTTAAATAAAAGCAACTGGATACAAACGTATTCCACTATTATCTGCAGTGAGATCGGTTGAAGGAAGCAGTTAAAGTTTTGAAATGGATTGGAGTGGACGGTTTATGGAGTCGGTGGGTCAGTTATATAGAAATCTTGGAATAACTCCAATTTAGGTAAAACCCTTGGGTATTTTTTTAGAATTTCTCCAGGGCTAGGCATTTGCATCCAGATTCCAGGAAAGTATTTTTTGCTTGGGCTAGGGATATTTGACTCAATAGTCTCGAACCAAAATAGATATATTTACCAAAATAGATATATAAATAGATAATATTAAAAATCAAACAGAACAGAACTGGGTCATCCAGGTTCAAAGACTCATATCTCTGGATCCAAGAAAGATAATAACAACAACATTGTAGCATTTTGGAAATGTTATAGTGTAAACTGTAATATGGCGGATATGTCTTTTGAGGGATTTTTTAAATATGGGTCCAAAAATCGATAATATTTAAACATTCCCCGAATAACGTTTTGAACAACCCCATCATGTGATCATTGTTGGAAAGGTATTTTAGCTTTTAAATGATGCCTACATCAGTTTAGTGGATCCGGGTCTCAAATATCAGGGCTTCCGGCTCCCGAAAAAAAAAAACTTTCTCGGAATCAGGGTACGAATAGTATTTTAGCTTTCAAATGATACCTATATTGACCATATCAGTTTAGTGGATCCGGATATAACCCATGTCTTAGATATCAGATCAGAAAAATATACTTTCCCGGAATTGGGGTATGAATACCTTCCTCTAGAAAATTAAAAAATAGATATGAGAGTTTTTATTAAACTAGAGTTAGATCTCGAAATCTTGGATCGATGTGGTCAATGCTTTGGCAACAGTTGTAGAAGCTATTATGATCTACAAATACAATATTTGGACAAATTCGTTAGAAAATTTGGCTTAAATCGTCAAAATAGTGCTAGTTTATGAGTGCTATAGTAAAAAGTGGACCTATACACACTATGTTCAGACGCTAGAGGTAGAATCTTCTACGAACTCTTAATATCAAATGTATAACAATTTCGTTGAAAAATGAGGCTAAAATGATTAAAATACTGAACATCACGAGGAACTGTTATATAAGCGCTGCAGGAAAACGTGGACCTGTTCTTCCTATTCATTTTCATTATTTCCAAGTTATACTTAATTTTTGTGTTATTGTTGTTGTTGATGGTGGTGGTAGCTGGCCGATATGCTATACTACAAATGCCGATTGTTTGATAGTTTTTGACTTGCTACCAGGAAAACGTGAACCTGTACAGACAATATTCTGTCACAGGAGGTAGGACCCGGTGCAAACTCTCAATACCAAATAAATACGTTGACCGATATTTATTTAGAGGTGCTACAAAGAGAATGACAAATTTAATATTCTCTTCTTTCCAAGGTGGAGGGTATACAAATGAGTGATGTTCGCTTATAAAGCTGCAGTTTGATCACCAGTGCAAGTGTCTTCAAAGTGCATGTTTTCGCATGAAGGATTATTTCATGTGTGAGCTCCGGTTATGAACCTGTCGGATATGCTTTACCAGCCTATATATTGGTTTATTATGTAAATAGATTCAAGGTGTAGTTATGAACAATCGTAGACGTGCCATTTTTACATACATGATCCTGGCTATGATGTTTTTAAAATAATTCCTTCTAATGTTTTGTAAATTGTCAAATTAACAAATGAAAAGGAAATACATTCGGCCAGGCAGAACTATGAAAAGTACTGCTTAAATTACAAAATACGTTCAGATTTGGATATAGCTCCCATATATATCTTCATCCGATTTCGGGGTAATTGACCACCAAATGGCCAATATCAGCCCAAATGGCCCGAATTTTGGCACATGTGACCGAAATTAGCCTTAAAGCAAATACAACAAATTTGGAGAAAATCGGATCAGAAACAGCTATAGCTCCAATATATATGTTTTATCCGATTTGGTGTTTAAGCCTCTCACATTCGTAATATGCACTCCACAAGAATGATATTTGGTACCAGATATAAGATACAGCCCAGAAATAGCTGTTTGTAATTTTATCGAAATCGGTTCAGATTTGAATATAGCTCCCATATATATCTTCATCCGATTTCGGGTTAATTGTGCATCAAATGGCCAATATCAGCCCAAATGGCATGAATTTTGGCAAATTCAACCGAAACCAGCCTATAGGCAAGTACACCAATTTTAGTAAAAATCGGTTCAGATATAGCTATAGCTCCCATATATATCTTTCATCCGATTTAGTCGTTAAGTCCCTCACATTCGTAATATGCACTCCACAGGAATGATATTTGGTACCAGAAATCAGATAAAGCCCAAAAATAGTTGATTTTAATTTTATTAAAATCTGTTTCGATTTGGATATGCCTCCCATATATATCTTCATCCGATTTCGTGTTAATTGTGCATCAAATGGCCAATATCAGCCCAAATCACCTGAATTTTCGTACATAAGACCGAATTCAGTCTGGAAGCCAATACGTCAAATTTGGAGAAACCCGGTTCAGAGATAGCTATAGTTCGTAAAATGCACGATAGAATTACATAGATTTTGATTTTGTACCAAATATCTCATAGAGCTCTGAAATGCCCTGTATAAACCTTTTTACGAGAGCTCTACTAAATATGCATAGTGGTGTAGGGTATCATATAGTCGGCCCCGCCCGACTTTTGAGCTTTCCTTACTGGTTTTTATTTGCAGTCAGGTCAAAATCGACGATTTAAGCTGATATCAAAAAACCGCCTCTGAAACTGACAACTGGTATTAAGTACCATTATTGGGTATTTATAGAATACTGTAATTGATTGAACTATTAATTAGATAGTTTGCAATTATTCATGGCATTCTTAACATTCAATACTCTTTTTTTCGAACCACAATTACTTGTAATATTCAATAAAAAAAAATCAAATTACACATTACCATGTGAATGAAATCCAATCCCAATTCTTAATGACTGCATTTTGTTTTGTTCAATGCTATGGCTTTGGATTGAATAACCTTGACTAACTAAGAATTCCTATCGATCTAAAAATGACAAAGATTTATTCTATAGAATTATTCAAGCCAGAATGAGAACTGAAACAATTTTTATTTCAAATACAAATAAACAATTTTTCACGTCAAATCAAACTTGAAATCTGAAACCGCCACACAAGTCAAGACTTGGTGGTGCTGCTGGTTTGGTGTCTGTCCAAGGGAATGTTGTTTATCTTTTGGATACTGAGCTTTGTTTCTGTTTCAATTTTAATGTTGTTTGCAATTACTATTTTGCTGATTACATTTTAAATGTTTGTTGTTGTCGTTGGTTTTTTTTTTTTGTTTTTGATTTGCGGATGTGCAGAGTTTCACTCCCGCCCAGAGCAGTCAATTGTTGTATAGATGGTAAATCTTGAAGTTTCGCTTTTTGTTTCAAAGACATCTCAGATTGAGAGATCTCGAAGATGTGTGACCTCCATACGGTCAGTTCGTCCGTCCGTCCGTCCGTCCGTCCGTCAGTCGGTTGCATAAACAATGACTTGGAGCTTAACATTTAAAATTGCAGCGTACAAATGTTATCACTTTGTGGTTGCTGGAGCGGCGGCGAGAGCTCATCAAAACAAAAACAAAAAAAAAAAACATCAATAAACCGCAAAGTTCTCAGATTGTTATGGAGTATTGTTATTAAGCTTATTACTGTCGTTGTTGTTGTTGCTGCTGCTGTTGGCCTGTACCCGAATCTATTGTCAAATGGTGTTTTTTGTTTAGCTGTGAGAATAATAAGCTACCGCCACTTTTGTTGTTGGAAACGTAATTCATCGTCATGCTTACCACCAGCACCTTGCATAGTACCCTCTGCTCTCTACCACAAAGCAAAAGCGTATATAAAGTTTCGCCGTTGCCATTGTAATCATTCGAAATTAAAAAAAAAGATCGCTGTACAAAGTTTACGAAAAAAGTGACGTGCGAGAAATTTAATCTCTGTTGATTCAATCTGGTAACCTTAGTCGTAAATAAGCACCTCTGCTGTCATTAATTGACATACAGTGGTTTGGATGGTGCGAAATCATGACATTTCATGTTCTATG